TCCACTCACTCACTCACTTATTTGTCACTGTCTGGTTTCTCAGGACAAGATCTGCCAAGATTTTGTTTGATGCGGTATTTGAAATCAACCATTGTTCGTACTAATATCATGACTGGTATGTAAAGGCACCAACTTGGCTGCCCAGAGTTGTCTGGCTTAGTTGTGCCAGGATTAGCTGATTGTGAGTTCAATCTATATCTATAGCCATGCCACCTTTAGAGACCGTTCATAATTTATGGCTAGGGGGGTGATAATGATTTTTATGGAGAAGTATGTACAATGTGAATGATCCCCCCTAAATTTTATGTACAATGTAAGTGACCCCCCTGCATGTCATGTACAAAGTCAATGACCCCCTTCCCCCTTTCCATATTTTTAAAGCATAATTTTAAAATATTTGTATGTACAAAATTGCTGACCCCCCTAGAAACATGTGTACAAAATTGCTGACCCCCACCTACCTCCCCAGAACAAAATGGGTGCCCCCCCCCTCTTAAAATCATAAACCAACAAACACACACAAAAGCAGCGTAAAACCAAACTCAGTCAGTCAATCTTCCCATACTTGAATAACTGTTTAGTGAGTGAGTTCATATGTAGCATCACATCAGCAGAAGCACTATTCAGTGAGTGAGTGAGTGAATGAGTGAGTGAGTTGATACTTCACATCAAATCAGCAGAACCACTGTTTATACCAACATCTATTATAACCACATCACTGCAGATTGATATTCTCCACAATCTTTCTGGAACAAAATATTCAAACGAAAAATATCCCAGACCCCCTTCAGAATATCTAATGGATGGTTCTTAAAGAGATTGCAACCTCATCCCAAAAGAGAGACTTTTGATTATCTCAGCGCTAAGATAGCTTTCTGGAACAGGACCACGGTGTTATTGTTGTAATGTTGCAATGATTCCTGTGTATCCTGTAAGTTTGTTTAGACATCACTCTGGCAGAAATACAAACATGGACTCCAAGGCCACCTGCAGCTAGTCAGACATGTATCATTGTTTCAGAATAAAGACACCTAATTTTGATGATACGTAGATATATATTTCCACGTCTCATGCCGTGATTTGTAAAAGAGACTTCATGATCCGGGGTATGAAGCCTTGTCCACATGACCAAAGAGGATAACACCATCAGCAAGCTGACATGGTAAGGAAGTCATCTGTGGGATGACTCCATGTCCTGCTTCACTAACAACTAGACTAATACAGTCTCTGCAAATATATAATTTTGAACAAAATAAATAAAGAACTCCATTTAAATGGAAAGGAGCCCCATAGACTAACATCTAGACCCTGAAATGAACATATTCTACAGAAATAAAACAGTTTCTAAATCATGTTCATAAAATATAATAAAAAGGAGCACAGATTTTTTCTTCATTTTCAGCCTGAAACTGTGTTCGTCAGGGCTTGCTACATTTTCTAGACTTGCTTGCTACATTTTCTAGACTTGCATGGGCTGTATTGAGTTTATTCACTGAGTCTGTAAGACATATTAGTAGAATCAGTAGGATGGGAGCTTCGGAATCTTAGAAAGTCAAGACTTGCTACATGTAAGGCTTTTGTATTGCATAATAAGCGACCTGCTGTTATGAGCAACCCATCAACCAACCTCAAGACTAGTCTGTCATACTGGCTTTTGTATTGCAGACAGGGCCAGAAGGAAGTGGAAGTAATGTGGTTCAGGGACAGTGACACACACTGTCCACTTGCTGTGTGCCTCATATTCACATTTGATGGTATGCTCCCTAGGGAGTTGAGAAGAAAACCAAGTGCACATTGATCCACCCTAAGCACATCAAGCATGCTTAAATAGATGGACTTTAGCAAATTACAAATATCCATTTATTGTTATTATTGTCATCCCATGGGCACCATTTCTGTCACAGAAAGCCAAGGAAATGGAGATCAATGAACAGCTTAATACTGTGGCTAGGAGACTGGTCCAAGACTGAGCTAACGTGGAGCACGAACATACCATTGGGTTACTATATCAGCAGCACCTGACAACCTTTTATAGTTCACAAGCTGGTACAGTATTTGCCATAGTAACCAACCTGCTCACATGAGTGAGTGAGTGAGTTTTTTTTACACCACACTCAGCAATATTCCAACCATATGGCAGTGTTCTGTAAATGAACCAGACAATCCAGTGATCAACAGCATGAACATCGATGTACACAGATGGGATATGATAGCATGTGTCAACCAAATCAGTGAGCCTGACCACCCGATCCCGTTAGTCGCCTCTTACGAGAAGCATGGGTTACTGAAGAGAAACACGGATCTTCACGGGTCTGCTTATGAGCTACCAATCAACCAACCCCAAGACCAGTCTGTCATACAGACCCTGAAACAAATACACCCAATACAGCCCATGCAAGTCTAAAATATGTGGCAAGTCTAGATTAACACAGTTTTGAAAATGAAGAAAGTCTCTCGGCTCATTTTTATTACATTTCATGAATATACTTCAGGAACCATTTTCTGTAGCATTCGTTCATTTCAGAGCCTATATGCTAGTCTACCTCAAGACCAGTTTTGAAGAAATCTTTGTGAGAGCCCCATAAGACCAAAATTTTACATTCTAGTCTTCATTTTTTTTTTTTAAAGTGAACTCAAGCACAGACAGGATATATAATATAGTTTGGCATTTTCCTGTTTTTGGCAATGATGTTTAGTCAAGTCAAGGTCCTCACCATGAGCTGCGTTCACTAAATAACTAAATCTCCAAGATGAGGCTCTTGTTTGTGGGGCTATTTATAACAGCAGGCAATATCTCTAATAAACCCTAAAGGTGGTCCACCAGCTTGTCCTGCATATAGTCATGGTAACTAATTCATTTATTTCTTTGCTCTCATCTATTGCCTGCATGATACTGAAGTACAGCTATGCAGAGGAAACTATTATATAAACTGCTGCACAGAGGAAACTATAATGTAAACTGCTGCACAGAGGAAACTATCTTGTAAACTGCTGCACAGAGGAAACTATGATGTAAACTGCTGCACAGAGGAAACTATGATGTAAACTGCTGCACAGAGGAAACTATGATGTAAACTGCTGCACAGAGGAAACTATGATGTAAACTGCTGCACAGAGGAAACTATGATGTAAACTGCTGCACAGACGAAAACTTTGATGTAAACTGCTGCACAGAGGAAACTATGATGTAAACTGCTGTGCAGAGGAAACTATTATATAAACTGCTGCACAGAGGAAACTATTATGTAAACTGCTGCACAGAGGAAACTATGATGTAAACTGCTGCACAGACTGCACAAAGCTATGATGTAAACTGAAACTATATGATGTAAACTGCTGCACAGAGGAAACTATGATGTAAACTGCTGCACAGAGGAAACTGTGATGTAAACTGCTGCACAGAGGAAACTATGATGTAAACTGCTGTGCAGAGGAAACTATTATATAAACTGCTGTGCAGAGGAAACTATGATGTAAACTGCTGCACAGAGGAAACTGCTATTTAAGCTGCTGCACAGAGGAAACTATTATATAAACTGCTGCACAGAGGAAACTGTGATGTAAACTGCTGCACAGAGGAAACTGTGATGTAAACTGATGCACAGAGGAAACTATGATGTAAACAGCTGAATGGGGATTCGGTGTGAATATATTTATTTACAGATTTACATTATTGTATGTTTTGCATTTTCAAGAGGAATGAATGTTTGAAATGAGAACATTTAATTCCATAGTACCCCTAAAATCAACCAAAGTCTTTCTTTGATGGTCCGCACACAGATGAGGACTTTAAAGTTAAAAACTGTAGTAGTCTGTACAATTTAAAATTAATATTCATTTTCAGTTCATTTTGTCAGCCACAAACAGATATCTGCACAAGGTTTTGCATTAATCATTCCAAATATTTCACTTCAAGTGACCTCCTTAAAGGAAAAACATTCCTGTATAGCACTAACCCTGACCAATAAACAGAGTTTTGTCTTTCTTTTCCTCATGGGATCTATAACACTCGTCTTCACTTAATCTAATTTGTCTCAAATATAATCCATATTTATCATAAACAAAACCTCTCTAAGAGCAAATAATATTGATTTTTGTCTGTGCATACCCAAACTTTTATTTTATCCTGAAAACTGTTGAACACTTCATCCATGAGTTTTACAAAAAAAATTGAAAATGCTTTATAATATTGATTTAATGCTGAGAAAGTGACATATGCAAAACTAACAGGTTCTGGTGACATAAAACCTTTTTCAAACTTTTAATTTACCGTAAACAGAAAATGATAATTTCATCTGCAGAATATATTGATCAGTTGTCTAAAAATTGATAAATGCCTTAATCTTCAGATTGCTTCAAATGAATATTCATAACATGACCGATATGGTTACACAATATTGACAATTTCAGACTTGACCAAAACAAGTCTCTATACACATTTACAAAAGTATCACTTTTGATAACGATTTCTTAGAAAATATCCATATTTTGCCTAAAAGTGGAAACCCAAAATATCTGGTTTAATTTAATGGGGTCACATGACTGTTGAGATGGTCACACTGGAGTGTTTGGAACATGAAATGCAACAGATGAACGCTTAGACAGGGAAAAAATTGGGCTCTTGCACTAGAGGGACATGTGGAACGTGTCACAGTGTTCTGGTAAAATAATGCTGAACATTTCAATCTCTGACAACGACCCCACAGTTGAATATCCTGTACACACAATATTCTTAAATATGCACTGAACATTTGAATGCCCTGTAAATCTTCAAAAGAATTATTACAAATGTATCTTTGATATCTAACGTTTTTACATAGCATATGGAAAGAGTTATAGAAATGTAAAAATATGCAAAATAAATAATAGCCATGAGGCTGGTCTGAGAAGATAGCACCAGACTTAAGGCGACACCATCTTGATACAGGCATCAGGTTCTATCGCCACGACAACACATTCTGTATTCACTAGCATATAGGGAATATTTCATTCATACTTACTGGACAATGAGTAGCATCCGGGGATTGTGTTTCTGCTACTGCATATGAACATGGTAAGTAGCACAAATTCACCAGTCATTCATCATTGTATACACATGTATATAGCGCTATGTACGACATATCCTCCTGTGTCAGTCAACTACGTGAGGCTGTTGTGCGACTGGCTACTGGGTGCAGAGAACCATTTCTCCAGAGCTCATTCTTTCAACAGTGATCCGGATGAACTCTAACCTTTGACCTAGCTGTATCATGGCTACATGTGGTGGGGGGTGCAGGGGGGAGGAGGAGGGACTGTGTGTGCCTGTGTGTGCATGTGTTTGTGGGGAGGGGGCACATGTGTGTGAGTAGAGGAAGGATAACAAGATTGAGTTGGGAGTTCTAGAGAATGAACCTGATTAGACAATAATAATGGAATCACTCCAGTGTTTGCCCTCGTTTGGCCAGGGTGGGAACATCATCCTTTTCAAGAAACAAATTATATATTTCATTCAAAATTGTTTATTGACTATTAAATTGATTGATTCCAAAACACGACAATCTGTTTTCTCACTTTCTCTGTAAAATGATTCAATTCTTCAGAGATTGTGCATTCTGTGACGAACAACATTTGAAAAATATCTTGAAATAAATATCTATCTACATGCTCATGAGGTCTACGACGTATGTAAGTGTTTTCTTGTTCTGTCTGCCAGATTAATGTTGACAGAACCATGTTGCTGAATTGAACAAGAACATTGCAATGACTTCAGAACCAAAATAAAGGTATCTTGGTATTTAGGTGGGACAGTTCATGGAGGGGAGGTGGAGGTTGTGTTTGGGGATTTTGTTAGAGACATTATACTTGTTTGGCCACTGCTTCAAAACATTTTCAAAAGAGTGGGTGAGTGAGTAAATGAGTGAGTGAGAGAGTGAGTGAGTGAGTAAATGAGTGCGTGAGTGAGTGAGCGAGCGAGCGAGCAAGGTTTTATGCTGCTTTTATGCAATATTCCAGCAATATCATGGCAAGGTACTCCAGAAATGGGCTTCACACATTGTACCCATGCAGGATATTTAACCTGTGTCTTCGGCGTGATGATTTAACCACTAGGCTATCCAACCGCCCCCATTTTCAAAAGAGTGAGTAATTGAGTGAGGTGAGTAAATGAGTGAGTGAGTTAGTAAATGAGTGAGTAAGTAAATGAGTGAGTAAATGAGTGAGTTAGTAAATGAGTGAGTGAGTAAATGAGTAAGTAAATGAGTGAGTGAGTGAGTAAATGAGTAAGTAAATGAGTGCATGAATGAGTAAATGAGTGAGTGAGCAAGTAAATGAGTGATAAGTGAGTGAAAAAGTGAGTGAAAGGGTGAGTGAGTGAGTGAGCAAGCAGGGTTTTATGCTGCTTTTTGCAATATTCCAGCAATATTATGGCAAGGGACACCAGAAATGGGCTTCACACATTGTACCCTTGCAGGAAATTGACTGACTGACTGACTGAGTTTAGTTTTACGCCGCTTTTAGCAATATTCCAGCAATATCACGGCGGGGGACACCAGAAATGGGCTAAACACATTGTACCCATGTGGGGAATCGAACCCGGGTCTTCAGCGTGACGAGCCAACGCTTTAACCAAAGTGGTTTCCCCACTGCCCCTCATTTATTTTCAAAAGAAGAGCCAAACCATATCCTACTGTTTCACCTCATATTCTCTCTTTTTCAAGATACCCAAGTCCAGTGAACCATAACAAAATTTTTTAAAAATTCACCAAAAAAAATGATATTTCAGAATTATTTTTTAAATTGCCAGTTCGTCGATCCTACAATATCACATGGTCATGACCATACTCTCCCAATATGTGTTTCGCATTGTCTGTCGGTGGACGGGCCTGGTCTCACTTGACACACACAATGGTGGTGTACGGAACATGGGCCCAGCTCACAAAATCAATACAACGGCAGTGCTTTATTCACCGACCGCTAGAGCCCTCGCCTAGTCTGCGTGAACAACATAAATCGGAGACCACTTTTTGTACACCCTGTGTTTGATGGTCTTTTTATCTACAATGGATTCGTCAGGCTAAGAAACATTTCGGTAAAAGAGAGACAGGAGGAACACAAGTTGACTTTAAATATACGTTTCAGTCCCGTGTTTTTCTGCATGTGGTAGCGAAATGACACGTTTTGGTTTTTAATCACGTCATTATTATCTCATGGTGAAACAGCATGACGTCATGCTGGATGAGTCGTTCAATAAACAGAGTTGCAAATCGTGTTCAGGGAATATACAATGTTCCATGTTCTGTTAGAGATGATAGTTTTAAGTGGAAGGTTAATCTTGACTCGTACGTCTGTGAGTGTGTTTGTCTGTGTCCGTTTGTCTGTCACTGTTATCTAGCACCATGTGTGTCTGTCTGACATGTCCTTGTTTGTGTCTGTGACATACTACATGTGGGTGCCTCTGTGTGTGTGTGTGTGTGTGAGAGAGAGAGAGAGAGAGAGAGAGAGAGAGAGAGAGAGAGAGAGAGAGAAAGAAAGAGAGAGAGAGAGAGAGAGAGAGAGAGAGAGAGAGAGAGAGAGAGAGAGAGAGAGAGAGAGAGAGAGAGAGAGAGAGTGAGAGAGAGAGAGAGAGAGAGAGTCTGTCGGTCTGTCTATCTGTCACTGTTCTGTAGCACCATGTGGGTCTGTGGCTCTGAGTGTTTGTGTACAGTTTAGCAAACAAGGAAACTGGTCAAGCACGCCATCATAATGAAATCATGCCAGTGTGTGCCCTAGTTTGGTCAGCGGATGATATATCTTGCTTAGGATTCAGTCCAGTTGTTCAACCTTGCAAATAATCTTTAAGACATTAATGGCAGAAATCAATATTCCAAATCAATATTGACACAACATCATTCTTTCCAAGAAACAAATTACAGAAATATTCAGTGAAGATGGTAAGGCATCAGATTCCATGTGTCCTTTTATCCAAAAGTCTCACTTTTAGATGATGTTGGAAAATCTTGAACATCCATGCGAATATTGCACAGTACAAGTGAGGTAGTGAGGTTTCACTGACGGAGGGAGAAAAAAACTTTAGAAAACATAGAACTTCAAGGACAAATTAGATGTGGAATGAAAATGTTTACACAAATATAAATAAAAGAATTGTGAACATAATCTCAAAGAAACAGACCATTAAGTGTTTTGATATTTTGCAAAGTTTGTATTTCAACATCAATAAAATGAAAAGATCAAGGTCAATTTATCCCTTGTTTGTTTGCTTTGGTCTGCGTGCAAAGAAATGTAAATGAGAGGTGAAATGTTGAGGCTTTAACTATGTTTAGCTAATTTTATCTGGTTTCTTCAACCAATTCCAACAATGCATGCAGTATTTTTGCCAGTGCTACAGTTGTCGATAGTCTCGCAGCGAGCACCATCTTTCCCTCTGAGAGACTAATATGAAATATCTATATCAGTTCCATATTGTACTTATTTGCCGTTTGACATTCAACAGATAACCGATAGTTTCCAAAATTGTTCATTTCACCATGGTAATGTCAGATCAACAACTGTTTCTGCGACAAACGTACCCAATTATGCCCAGTTCCAAAACAGCACTTCTAGCAATTTCCAGGCATGTGGATATCACAAATAGAAATTATTGATGATTTCTATCTAATAGAATATTTGTGTCTGTATGTTATTTGGAAACAATAGTATTATATACATGTATTCTCAGTAACATTGACCTTACAACATATTGGTCATCTTAATTGTATCAGATGCGTATACATGAGAATTAAGTCGTTTCAACATGTGCATGTTTTAAGTCATAAGATTTAAGTGGAGTTATGGACCACCCAACTTTTTCATATTACTACAGAATTCAGTCATCCTCAACCTTTTTGAGTTGTATACAACTGTACAAGGTGAGGTGAGGTGAAATTGGGTTTAACGTCCTGCTGGAGAATATTTCGCTCATATGACGACGTGCATGCATGTGTATGTGTATGTGCGGCTGCTTGTACTAGCCCAGACTGAAGCTGGTTTTATAGTGCTAGTCCACTGAGATACCATGCCGCAGTGAAGCATGAATACCCCACTCAGACACATTATGCTGACTCCGAGCCGACCAGTCCTTGTTGTACCTATTAATGCCGAGCGCCAGGCAGGGACCAACAAGTACCATATTTTAACGTCTTTTGTTATGACACGGTCAATAAGATGTGTAACATTATAGGGACACTTGGTGTAAATAAAACATTGAGAGCTACAGAAAACTTTTTGGGTCATTGAGTTAAGTACTCGCTTGTGTTCATCTCAATTGGGTATCCTAATTTTCCCAATACAAATGTACAAAATGCAAAGGCATTAAAAGTGTCAAAAATGTAGATTTTGGAGGTTTTCAGGAGTTTTTTTTAATTTCAGAAAATGCTGATTTCCATAGATGAAGATAATGCCAGCATAAAAGTCAAATGTCACATTAAGTTTGATATTTTTTCTTAAAAATTTGACACCAGGTTATAATGGGCTCTTGTTATTCCAAATACATCAATAGTGGGTGTGAAGGATTATCTATTTAACTATCCAACACTGTATTCTCATCCAGACTTTCTAGGCCAATATAAGGGGTGGTGGGGTAGCCTGGTGGTTAAAGCGTTTGTTCATCACACTGAAGACCCAGGTTCGATTCCCCACATGGGTACAATGTGTTAAGCCCATTTCTGGGGTCCCCCGCTGTGATATTGGTGGAATATTGCTAAAAGCAGCATAAAACCATAATCACTCACTCACTCCAGACCAATATGATCTAGGTATATTCACATGGTGTTTGTGACCACTTGGTGTCCATTCATATAATGTTTTACCTCTGTTTTGGCTTCAGGCCCAATGAAATCTGTACTTCAAAATGTTTAGATTATTTTCCAGTGTTGCCATTTTATGTTTAGAGAGTAAACAACAGAATGTAAATCCAATACCAACTTTCAAACCTTGAATAAACAGAAACACAGCTTTCAGCAGATTGAGTGTTGATTCAGTCAAGGTGCCAAAGAATATATGTTTTGCTAGATATATCTTCCCTAGTTTTCTGTTCCATTAAACACATGCTGTATCCAGCTCTCTCAGGGTGTTACTTTGTAGATATGACTAAGTAAACTAACATTGTGTTTTGTCAAAGCACTTGTCACACAGAAATG